GTCTGGCACAAACTCGTGTTGAAGAAGGGGGAAAATAAAGGAAAGTGATATGAATTTATCAGCCATTATCAGCTTAAATCTCATGACAAGTGTTAAACAAGTTTTTTCACTCAACAACCTCACAAGGGAATTCTCTCTAGCAAACTCCATTATCCACACTTAGCAGGAGCTGTTACTTTCTCTTTGCCTTTCCCTGAAGATTTAGTTTCACCAGTGAAGAAACAATTGAGTAATAACAACATAAAACCCCAGAAACCTTACAATATTAACTGCTGTGTAAAACATGACAGAGATTTGTACCTAAGAAAATTGTTCACTTCTGCTGGAGCTAAACCAGCCCAATCTTTCTCTTTGCCTTCATCACAGCCAATATTTCATTAGCTGTGCTGACATCTTATTTACAGCTTTATTTTTCCTAGCCAGGGTGTTATTTTAGGATAAAAGGATGAGCTAAAGAACATGAATGAAATCCTTCTGAGTAAGAGGCATCCCAATAGATCTAATTTCCTCATTTTACCCATTTCATCTCTGTGGGTTTGGGGTGAGTTGTCCTGACATGTAAGGGTTGCTCATGACTCTACCAGCTGCTTGAAATGAAGCTCACATAACTTTCATTACCAACCTTCCAGATTCTTGGGCTAGATGCTAATTTTAAGTTTGGAAGCCTCAGATAGTGAAGAAAAACAACCCTGGCAGTGGCAGATGAGCGAAGATAAGTGTGTACTAGAGGATGCTGTGAAGGAAATGGTCTGTGAGCTCACACAGCACTGAAAGTACAGGGCAAAACCCTGACAAATCCAGGCTTATGCTGGTGAGATGCAAAAAGTGAACCTGAAGATAAAACTGTTTCAGTTTTTCTGGCAAAGAAAGGGATGGAAATGAGGTTTTGCACATTCCTGGCAGGAGCTCTAATCAGTAGCTGAGAATACAAAACAGCAAAGATGTATTTTCCTCTGAACTCACTCTAAAAGGAGGAGATCTCTGCTGAATATTGTTCAATGTGGATAGAGGTGTAGAGTGTAGTGAGGAGAGAGCACCTGGGGGTGTCTGGCAGCTGCCCATGGATCCTGGTCAGGCTCAGGCATAAGGTGCTCTACAGCCAAACCTGAGACCTGAACAGCCTGAGATGTAAAAACCCTGTTGGAGAGGAGGCACTAAGGGGATGAGAGGGATGGTACAGTTCTGCTGTGAGGGAAGGCTGAGAGAGCTGGGATTGAGTGTAGTGAGGAGAGAGCACCTGGGGGTGTCTGGCAGCTGCCCATGGATCCTGGTCAGGCTCAGGCATAAGGTGCTCTACAGCCAAACCTGAGACCTGAACAGCCTGAGATGTAAAAACCCTGTTGGAGAGGAGGCACTAAGGGGATGAGAGGGATGGTACAGTTCTGCTGTGAGGGAAGGCTGAGAGAGCTGGGATTGCTCAGCCTGGAGAAGAGAAGAGACTGGGGAGGCCTTCTAGCAGCCTTCCAGTACCTTAAGGAGGCCTATGATAGAGCTGGAGTGGTGTCTCTGCCCATAATAGAGGATTGGAACCGAATGATCTTTAAGGTCCCTTTAATCCAAATCATTGCATGATTCTGTGAAAATGCTGGTGCTAATTGAGTTCAAATGCCTCAGCAACTAGGGAGAGACTGTCATAATGAAATTCAATGTTCTTTTTGGCAGTCTGACCTTCAAGCTGCCCCAACTTTCCATTTTCATGGCCTTCTAAATGATTGTTTATAGAAGCACTGAAAGGCATTTTCCTCAGTAAAAACTGTCCTAGTTATAGAATTGGTTTTAACCAGTTTTGAATTCTAAATGCATTTCAAAAGATTTCTATTGCTCAGCTAAGTGAGACCCTGAAGCTCCACATTCCGCCTCCAGTAAGTCACTCTGGAAGCTGAAGGGCACTGCTGTAGTCAGAATCAGAGTCTAGGAGGTTCTCCTAGTAAAAACAAGCATTAAAATCACCCTTTGCCTTTATAAGCTTTTGAATGTGTGAAGACTCATCCTAAGTAATACATTAACAAAAAGTCAGGAAAAGGGTAACTCTGGAGCCCAAAGCCATAGAGATTTCTTATCACCTATTTGATCATCACAAATATGATAGTCTGAGTCAGTCATGCCAAACTGGTCAAATACACAGATTCCTCTCCATCTGCAAGGAACAATAGGGATTTGGGGCTGGAAGCTAAAGAATAAAACATGGAAAGGAGGTAATGTATTTATCCATGATAGATGACACAGGGAGGCAACGAACAATGTGCAAGAGATGTTTTCCCTTCCCAAGCACCTATTCTTCTCTGATCTATGCCCCAGCTGCTGTTGGACTTCATCATGGCACGAGGAACCACAGACAGGAGGTGACAGTTGCATAGCAACTCCAGGGACAGCGACCAAGGACTTCTCTCATTCAGCACACCAAAGATCAAAAGACAATGCTGATCATTTCCACAAAGAGTTTAGTTTTGAGTCGAGGGAATAAATAAGAACACAGCTGAGAGAGGACATTGCTCCCTGGGGGTCAGATAAACACACTCTCACAATGCTATGAAAAGTAACATTAGTCATGGACTGCAGAGCACAAGACAAGGGTGTGAAAAGGGTATTTTACTCACTTATTTGAAAGAGAACATGACACTAGATGCACATTAATAAAGTTTCAAGGAAACATTCAGACGTGCCATGAGCTCACTGACTCACCATCACCCAAGCAAAGCCCAAAGAGCCAAAAACCTTGAGTGTTCCCACTCAAACTGCATCAATTCCATCATGGAACTCCAGTGACAACAATCCTGAGCACAGCTCAGGCTGCAGCTTTTTCCCTTGAGGTTTGAGTAAAGGGGTGGAAAGAGCTATGCACAAGAGAAAATTTGGGGAGTACACAGAGTAAATCTCACATCCCTAACTCTCCAATCTTCTCTCTGTCAGGTTCTGGTGAAAGGATGACCTAAACCAAGTCATCACTTCATTTTATATGCCCTGGGTTGCATCAATTACAACTGCTCTGCTCCCCTACCCAAGCTGAGTGGACTTCACTACCTAGGAGACCAAGGATATGAAGAGCTAAGGTCATTTTAGCGCATTTTAGTATTTTTTCACTCCTCAGATGCAGTGTAGCAATTGTCAGGACACAAACCCACCGCAAACACTTGCACTGCAATGGTCATGATCACTACCTCTGGAAACGAGGCAGGACCTGACACCTGATTCCATGAGATTGCCAAATATATTGTGACATTTCAGACCATCTAGGTTTTCCAGTGCTGAGCAGAGAAATCCTCTTACACCTGTTGAAATTAACTTCTCACATCTTGTTTCCTTTGGTGTAAACACATCTTCTTCCCATTTTTCCAAAGGCCTCAGAGTCAACTTTGAGCTTGCTATCAGATACATAAGGTTCTAACCCACTATTTTTAGCCCTTAATGGCCAAGCTAATAGTGCCATTAATCCACTTTGGTATATAGCATTCAATTTCCACTTCAAATTGCATCTCAGTGCAAATGGTAACAGTTCTGTTGGCAGGTGCATTCAGAAGTTCATGATGCAACACATTTAATGATTTCCTGCTCTCAAATGGAAGGGAGGACTCTGTAGGTGTCTTTTGCAGCAGTGTGGCATCAAGGGCTGGAGCATTCTGGAGCCAATATTTACAGGGCTAATGCAGCACATTGCAGAGACTATCCAGATGGGGAAGGCAGGACCGGAATGTAAATGGCACAGTTAAATTGGTTTAGCTGTGGGTGCCTCAATCAAGTGTCCCTCCCTCAGCAGGTAAACCAGAGCCAAGCCCAGAAGGCTGTTATCCCTCCAGGAATGAGAGCTCTGCCTTTGGATCCTGACCTCACCCTGGGAGGATACAGCTTTCACCTGCCACTTCAAAAGAGATCATCCAAGGACAGAGCTGGCAAGAAGGGACACCTGCCCAGCCTTGCAAAGATGTTCTCCTCCTCAGCTGGAAAAACAACATTTACAAGGGCAGTGACAATCATTATGTCTAAAAATCACTATCTTCAGTGTACTCCATCAGCTCAAAACAGCTGGCAAGCAGCACTGAGGCTCACTGCACAAACCAGAGATAGCTGGTCTGGGCTTAAATCCACACCTGCCACACTTGGAAGGAGAAAATATCTTTCCCCTACCATGGAATTAGAGATATGGGAGAGACAGTTTGCTGTTTCAAGCTATCTGCTTTAAAATACATCACTGTGAATTTAGGGAGAGACCAATTAAGATCTTTAAAACATTAACTGTGGTGGGCAAGTCCACAGCAAATTATTCAGCTTAAAGCTGCAGAATATTGTCCTTGTCAAACAATCATCTGCAGGTTGAATTTGAGATTTATTGCTTCTTGGTACTGAATTATGGGGGTGTGATAATAATTCTGTGAGCTCCAAAATGAAACTGGAAGATATTTGTGACTTTTTGAGCTAACAAACCTGTAACAGAAGCCCCAAATTTAGTGTAAGTGATATTGTATAGCTTTGACTCTAAAGCACTTCTGCAAAAATGACTTGTGAAGGGTTCAGACATCAAAAAAGACATGAGAAATTACCTTAAAAAAAATCAAATTAAGAAAATTCATCACTGTGAATAAAGTGCAAGGGAAATCTGCCTTATGTTTGCCTGTTAATAGATGATAAGTTAAAATCTCCCTGGTCTAGCATAGGTTTAAATCAATCCAATCCCATTAAGAACAGTCACAATGAGAGACCCTGTGAGCCAAAGCAGGAGCTGGGGAGAAGGATTAGGGTTGAAAGAGTAGAGAAAGGAAAAGGCACATGGAAACGTTTCATTACTCCAGCACAAAGATGCAGCTTTTCTACTACAGGTGCCCAAAGGTGCATGGACAGTGCAGGAGCATCCTGCCTGTCCCATGGGCACTACCTGACTGTCCAGAAGAGGCATAAAGTTTTGCTGGATGAAAATCCCCTTTCCAGAGGAATTTTACGGCCCATCCATCCTATTGAGCATCTGCAGAGGGCGCCAGGCAGTTTGGGATGTGCCAGGGATGCCGCACCTGGTACTCGCAGCTGTCAGTCAGCAAGGTGCTCACTCTGCAGCGGCCAATGCTCTGCACGGAGGGCGAAGTAGGAGTTGGTTTTTCTTTCATGCGTGTATAAAATCCCTTAGTTCTCTTTTCCTTTCTTGCCACTGAACAACTAGCGAGAGAGGCTTGGCTGAGCTGCGACACATTGGCAACAAAGCTGCCCCAGCAGTCGGGAAAAGTCCCTGCCGGAGCCGCCGGGAGAGTCGGGACCAGCAATGTGCTGCTGCCCATCTCACCCTGCAGAGAAAACTGTCTGATGCCTGCGAGGCTTGAGGCTCACTTTCTGATCAAGGAAAAAGCAGCCTGTGACTGACACAAAACTCCCTGTAAATGCAGATTTTTTTGTGTGTTTTCATTTGTAAAAGTGACTAAGAGAAGTTCTGCTTGATTCTGCCCCACGTACACAGCAGCAGTTTGGAAGGACTTGTTTTCCTTTTTTCCTCCCTTTTTTAACCTGTGCTCTACCAGGTCCCTAACTTGTGAATTCAACTCCTTTGCTGGCAATGAATACCACACACTTTGCATTTTCCTTTCAGCCTGTGCTGCTTAATGTCACCGAAGACTTCAACGAGTCAGTTCTGAACAACAGAAGCGGCGACGGATTTTGTGAGCAAGTCTTCATAAAAGCTGAGGTCTTCTTGACTTTAGGGATCATCAGCCTCCTGGAAAACATCCTGGTCATTCTTGCAGTGCTGAAGAATGGAAACTTACATTCTCCCATGTATTTCTTCCTCTGTAGCTTGGCTGTGGCAGATATGTTAGTGAGCATGTCCAACGCCCTGGAGACTATCATGATTGCCATCCTGAGCAACGGCTTTCTGATCATTGATGACCACTTCATCCAGCACATGGACAATGTTTTTGACTCAATGATTTGTATTTCTTTGGTAGCCTCCATTTGCAACCTCTTGGTTATAGCCATTGACAGGTACATAACTATTTTCTATGCTCTGCGTTACCACAGCATCATGACGGTGAAGAAAGCTTTAACCCTCATTGTGGTCATTTGGATTGCTTGTATCATCTGTGGCATCATATTCATTGCCTACTCAGAAAGCAAAACTGTCATTGTCTGTCTCATCACCATGTTCTTCACCATGCTCTTCCTCATGGCCTCCCTCTACGTCCACATGTTCCTCTTTGCACGGCTGCACGTGAAGCGCATCGCAGCCCTCCCCGTGGATGGAGTGCCCTACCAGAGGACCTGCATGAAGGGAGCTGTCACCATCACCATCCTCCTTGGGGTCTTCATTGTCTGCTGGGCACCCTTCTTTCTTCACCTCATCCTCATCATTTCTTGCCCACTGAATCCATATTGCATCTGCTACACTTCCCACTTCAACACTTACCTGGTCTTGATCATGTGCAACTCGGTAATTGATCCACTCATTTATGCTTTTCGGAGCCTGGAGATGAGAAAGACTTTCAAGGAGATAGTTTGCTGCTGTTATGGCATGAGTGTGGGGCAGTGCATGCTGTAAACATCTGGCTTTGGGTGGAAAAGACACACCATGGGTGTATGCACATATGTATGCATGTACCAAGACATAGCAGCTCACTTTCAATGCAGTGCCTGGAGGAAGGGTGTAGGAAAAAAAAACCTTCTATTTGATGCCTTGGTTCATATTTTACAGAATGAAAACCAGTTTTAACTGAGTGAAGTTATTTAAACAGTTATTTTACAGTGATAAGAGAAGGAAATCCAGAGTGGCTTACAAAAAAAAAAAAAACAAACTTACTGGGAAAAAGTGAATCCTGAAAGAGAATCCTGTCTTAGAGAGACTGAGATAATATTCTCTCTCCCATTCATTTGTGCCTGTTGCTTTATCTCTGTGCCACTACCACCAAGTCACCAAGTCAGTGTTTTCTGACAGATTCCATTAGTAAGCTCTGTGGAAAGCTGTCCTTCAAAACCCCAACAGGTAACAGCTTTGTTCTACACCTCCCATGCCTCCACCTTCTAATGAAAGGACAGATAGACATTGATGCTGCTTGTTATAAAGCAACCTGAGTGCAGCTGCTGAAGGGTGAAAATTAACATTTGTCTGGCACTGAAATGGGTTCAATGACAGGGAGTCACTACAGTATCACTGACAGAGTGACTTAGAGCACTGCCTGATAGGAGTGACTCATATGAAAAAGGCTTTTACATCATTTATTGTGACATATGAGTATTATATCTTCAAATTTTTAACAGTTTTTTTAAAGCTGGAATGCACTGATCAATGTAGGATTTGGTATGTTCCTAAAAAACCAAAAGTCACAGAAATCTCCTGTTTGATAAATCATCACCAGTGAGACCAACAGATCTGAACATCAGGAACAGCTCAAATGCAAAATAGCTTGAAATTAGCTTTGTGTAAAAGCTGCACAGAGTCTTTAGGGATGTGCAGCTAAGTTCAGTACCTGGAAGAAATAAGATGTGCATGGCAGATAGGACTTCTATGCATTGAAAAACAAATGTCATGGCTCAAGTCATTTCTTACTTCACCCTAAACTTGGGGATGGACACTCAGTGGATGCTCCTGCACTGGGAACAGGAAAGCCAAACATGTTGTCTGCAATCATTCCCAAACTGTGTGCAAGTTGGTGGCACGTAAAGTATGCAACTTCAGCTGCAAGAATTTAGTCTTTGCCTCTGCTTTCTGTGAGAATAAACCATGCAAGTGGCCTTCAAACAGCACACTGTAACTGAGCAAAGGCTGATACAGTTTGTGGGTAACACAGGTACAGACACTAGTGCCAGGACAGGAAAATGCTAAGCCATTCTGAAGTCTAGTTAGCACCTTGCCTGGTACCTTTGTTTTAGGAGAGGCAGTATCCCCAAACCCTCAGAGTTGTCTGTTGCTTTCAAACACCTATTTTGACTTAAGACTATCTAGTTTACCCCCCTCCATCTGAGTGGGGGTGCTAGGTGGTTATTCCTCTGTCAGGCTGGAAGCAGTCCCTATTTTGACTTAAGACTATCTATTTTACCCCTCTCCATCTGAGTGGGGGTGCTAGGTTGTTATTCCTCTGTCAGGCTGGAAGCAGTTAATCCAGCCCAGAACTTCCACACCTACTCTGCTTCCAGTTCTGCACTCTCACTGGTCCTGAGACAACCCAGGCTGATAGTGTTTCTCTCCCCCTGACTCCAGCACCCAGTTCTGGTGCCTGTGGGGAGGCACATTCACAATACATATACCTGTGTTTGATTTTTAGCATCCTATAACCTCTATAGGGAGAAACCCAACTTCCCAATCCTATGGAGTGTATAAATTTCATGGAGCCAAGAGCCATCCCTCCCTGAGCTCTAGCCACACTCTGCCCATCAGAACAAACCACTCATGTTCCCTATTTCCCCTCCCATCACACCCTAAATTCCCTCATTGAGTTCTCTTTTTCTCCCATAAACGCATCCTCCTCTCTCCCACTGTTCCAACACTTGCCTAACCTCAGAACCCTAAATTTTCAAAAGGTTAAACTAATAAAAAAACCCATCAGGGTCACTGTGGAGCAGAACAGGCACAAATGAAAATTCTACCCCATTTCAGGCAGAGAAAATCCCAACAACTGGCAAAGCCAAATGCTTTCAGCCTTATCTGTGTCTGATAGTCACTGGAGAAGATGAGGCTCTTCTCACTCTCTATCAAAGCCAAATTAGGCTACTGTCAGCTCAGCCTGTCACACTTTGCAACTCCTGCTGTGGCACATGAAGATGAATCAGCATAAGGGATCACACAACTCTCCCTTTGTGGTGTGGGAAGATTGTACCTACCTGTTGTAAAAAGTCTCTACCTGTTGTCAGTGTTATGTATCTATACTCTGGAGCGTGGTTTGCCATGATATTCTGCCTCAGGTTACTGTGTATTTAGCTTTTATTGCACCTGATGTCCTACTTCTTTCTCTTCTAAAAGCGATTTTAGGCAAGACTGATTCACACTGTGCTTTGCCTTTAAGCAAGACATACATCTGTTGAATAAAACAATCTGAAGACATCACTTAGAATCATGTTTGCTTCTGTCAGAGCACCACAGCATGGCAAACCAGTCTGTGGGCTGGTTCACAAAACTAGAAACAGAGTCTAACACTGGGCAAAAACCTCTTAACTCATAGAATCACAGAATGGTTTGGGTTGGAAGGACATTAAATATCCCCTTGTTCCCCCCCTGCCATGAGCAGGGACACCTTCTGCTAGTCCAGGTTGTCCAGCCTGGCTTTGAGCTCTACACTCTGTCCACAGAGCTACACAAAAAGTCTGACTTCATCCCACATGCAAACATGATGGGAAGAGAATCCATAAAACCCTTCAGAGATCTCTCATCCTTTCTAGCACCAGTGTCCCCACACATTATCCATGGAGATGGAAGGTGGGTTTGTCCAGGCCCAGCTCCAGATCCTCAACTCTAATCATACTTTGCAAGTCCATGGTGTAGTGTTCTGCAGGGAGCCAGGAGAGAAGCCATTACAAGGCTGTCCATGATGGGAAGGGA